TGCAGGAAGTCAAAGGGCTGTACCGAGTAAGGTCTGTGCTGCAGGAAGTCAAAGGGCTGTACCGAGTAAGGTCTGTGCTGCAGGAAGTCAAAGGGCTGTACCGAGTAAGGTCTGTGCTGCAGGGTGTCAGAGGTCTGTACCGAGTTAGGTCTGTGCTGCAGGGTGTCTATGGGCTGTACCGAGTAAGGTCTGTGCTGCAGGAAGTCAAAGGGCTGTACCGAGTAAGGTCAGTGCTGCAGGAAGCCAAAGGGCTGTACCAAGATGTGCTTGCTTGGAAACTGACTTGAAATACTGTGAATTGCTCTTCAGTCCCCCAGGATGATAATATATTTCTACTGTTCGGTACAGCAAAGCAGGGTAAATTACCTTTCTCTGTGGTCTTCCCACTGTCCACAAGGAATTCCGGACCTTGTCTTAGCCAGATGTCCTCTATAGTTTTCCCCATTGTCCTCATAACAGTCTATAACATATGAAGACAGACTTAGAACGTTCCTCAGTTATTTACAGTTGCATAAGAAAAATTCAAGATACCAAGCACTTAAGAACTGAATCTCTAGGGAATCATATGAAAATATTGACTTATTTTTAGGTTCTGGCTTTGATACTTATATTGAACTTGATGTAAGAATGTCTCAAATTGTCACTTGTGGCTTGATTAATTTTATTTTAGAAACCAAAAAATGTGTTTGTCAGTGTAAAGCATGTGTTTAATTAAGTCTGAATGTATAAAGGACTGATTTCAAGTAGAAAGTAATTTTATGCATAATAATGTTTAACATATGTATCAGTGTGGAGAGGTACAGTAGGGTATGGTTTCAGAGTTTGACTTTATAGTGGGCTTCCGGAAGCTTCTACGGCCATTCCCTAATTTACCGCCATTTAAACAAACCAAAAATTAATCAAACACAAAATCAGACTCTAGGCAAAAGTCATGTGACCAGGAAGATGATCAATGAGAAAGAAAGCTCTCCACCAAACTGGTGACTGATGTAAGGACTGGGCAGAACCTCAGCTGAGTAACGGGTCATTCAAATGTTTGGTTTCGTACCGTCAGTCGCAGGTGATTCAGGGTCACACCTGGGAATGTTCGTGCAGAAGGCCATTTTCACTTTGGGGTCAGTGGTGAAGCACCATGGGAGATCAGCGCCATCCGGGTTCCTGCAGTAATTCTCCCTCAGGTCCCTGGCGGACAAAGATCAACAGACGTGGCATTACAGTGGCCACCAGGGGGCATCATCTAACAGGCTCTTGCTGTAACCACATGAGCCCATCTTGAAAGTAAGTGATTTGGAGCCACAAAACTTGCCGGTGACTGAAATGGAAAAATCAATGTACCGGTCTAAACACTCCCACCATCTGGGGCATTCCAGTAAATGCTGCCAATTGTGAGCGAGGAGAAACTGCACGAGGGCCCTGACCATGTGACATATCCAGGCGTCCCCACAAAGGCCACGTGCCAGCTGTACGTGCCAGTCTGCCATTGAGGTGACGGACCTTACTTGCACTTGTAGTTCTGTGGGCTGTAGGAGTGGTTGTGTGGGATTTGCGAATCCCAGCGCTGGCACTTCACCCCGCCGGGGGTCACACCCACCGTCCCTCGGTACGTCTCACCGCGGCCCTGGAAACATGCCGTTGTCATGGCAATGTCTGCCACTGTGTTTGAGTCTGAAAGAAAGATGGATGAAAGATAGGTCTGAGCACTACAATATAGCATTCAATCAGGAAGTACTGGTAATCAGCTATGGCGACCACCCAGAATGCACCAGGAGCAGCTCCAGGAAGATTCATGCTAATGTGGTGATGACACGCGCACTGACAGCTTCAGTGGTGCAAATATTTTATTGTAAATAGATAATTATGAATCATAAATTATGCTGTACTCCTTGCTCAAGCAAATATTATGGGATAAACTACATTTTTCAAACCTTGAGACATTTCAAGAGCAGCTTTTCAAAGTATAAACATAACCAAATTTTGCTATGATTTATATACGCAGAAGGTTGGCTCAGTTAACTGGGGTGTAAATTCAAATTACTCCCAAAGAGACACAATGAAATCCTTAATTAAATTTAATCACTATCTTCTGCAGTCCCCCTGATTATGCGTATGAGACGCCAAGGGACGTGTAAGCATGTTTCATCGACTCTCTGCTGAATTACTCCCAACTTACCGGCATTACGGCGAATTAAACAGACAGGCGCTCCCAATAAAAGCAAATGTAAACTTCTGAGGTTTCTGAAATACGGGTCACTGGCTGACATTATGACTGTCTACCAATAAATACACAGTATTTACTGACTCAGGACAAACGCTGCTGGCATTATTTCCACACAAATCAGAAATAATTTCAGCTAACAAACAAACCACAGAGACTCATTATCCTGGAACCCCGACAAGGTTTAAGAGCGCAGCTTTGAGTCCGAGTGAGTTTATATAACTATTAGCGGAAAGACGTATCATATTCCAGCATTAGGACTGATGCACTGTTCCAAGTACAGGGCTCTGGTCATGCTAACATCTGTTCCATCTGTGGCGTGTGATTTTTTAAGGTGCCTGAGCATTTCAGACTGTTTTTCCATCTACATATAATTTATAATGGCGTTTGTGAAACAACATGGCGATCTGTTTACGCCGCATAAGCCTGGATAGCGCTGTGAATATCCATCCTTGGCAAGTGACTGGACATTAGTAAAAATAAACACAGAAGACAGAGTCATCGTTAAGACCAGCAGCAATTAGTTATGAAAATAAAGGCATGCAAGGACTCTGGAAGTTTGAAACGGTCATGTGAGCAGAGGCCCCTGATATAAACGACACATCTGTGGCGTCTTTCTGGTGGGCCTGAAGTGTGTTCAGAGCTTTCCGCTTATCATCCCACTGTTGTGGAAGGTCAGTGCTGTCCAGGGGTTTGAAGAAATAAATAAGGCAAACCATAATAAGTTTACTGAGGTAATGTGCAAGACAATCAGGCCAGAGATAGTGTTAGTCCTTCCATAAACACTCGTTTTACAAACAGCATTCTTTAGCAGAAGCCAGTGAGCGAAAGGGAAGCTCACCGCACGCTGTGATGTCACAGTACTCCCACGGCGTGCCGGGGTCAAGCGTGAAGCACCACGGCCGCAAACGATTGTCGGGGTTGCGACAGTAATTGTCGTTGAGGCCCTTGTCGGGGTACCTGTGAGGAAATAGGACGGGATTGGCTCGTCTGAGTGCGTGGTGAAGGCTGAGGAACTGATCCAAATGGATCCCTGAGGAAACTGTGTGAGCCTCAGCTAGGTTCTGCTGGAAAGACCTCAGTGTGTCAGATCGTAAACGCAGGCACTGAGCTGCCATCCTTAAATGAGCTGTTTCTGAAATGTAGATCCCTCCAGGTTCAGCTACTTAGACAAGATCAGTCTGCTTTGCTAAAGAGAGACTGAAAGCTGATCCAGCAGTATGTCTGTGTGTGTACACAACATAAACGTTCACACACCACAAACATGCAAGACTATCTGAATAATCTGATGAAACTGCTAAGGCAAACTGCTGTTTAATTCACCGTCAAATGCAATCACATGGAAACCAGCTTCTATGAAATAAAGTCCAAAGCATTTTCCATGTGTATAAATTTGGATTAGAATAAAAATCTCAAGGGATTGCAATAATCTAGGTACTTGGGAAAACCCATAGAACAGTTCTGACATCATATTCCATGAATGCCGATTCCCAGGATTCAGTACAGAATGGGCACATATCTCAAAATATGTGGGCCATAAAATATTTAAGACTGGCAAGAATAATCATAATGGCATGTGATACCCAAATAGGCACTAGGAAAGTCTATTTCTGAGAATGTAGTGGCACTCATAGCCTACATAAATAAAGCTGAAATATACCATCATCAAAGGTAACAGGTACTCCTTCTATGAAATGAAATTAGTGCTATTCAGCAGATAATTAAGACAGTGAAGCCAGAATTTACTCATCATATAAAAACCAAAGACAGAGATACAGAAAACAGGCCCACTGTTGTTTCCACAAGACAGATGTTTTACAACATCGTGAAGGTGATTCATTGGCTGGTCGACGCCTGGCCAGATTTCTCAGCAACACGAAGCGCCTGAGAGCATCAGCAATGGTTGACAGCGCACCGCTTTGCTAGTAAACATCTCTGCACCCTTTGTGTTGGTGCAGAGACAGAAGATCTATGTTCTAGGCACTTTGTCTTTGGTGGGTTTGGGCTGTGGGCAGGTTGTAGACCACGAAAGCAAGCCCTCTTACCTGGAGTTCAAAACCAGGGGGCTACAGACGCCACTGCTGGGAGATCTACCTCACACACTCACAGCAACGCATGGGACTCAAACCCTAAATATGCTCTCACTCGCCGTCTGACATGGGAGTATGTGCCGTTCACGTGGCACCATTACCGTGGTACTCTTCACGAGTATTTTGGTTGGCTCTTCTCTGCAGCTTCCTTGGGGTTAGACTAGTGTGATCCTCAGACTGAACAGAGATGCTCAGTGACAAATGCACAGACCATGCTTGTTGTGCACAATCTAACCAACAGAGGGCGATCTGTGGCTCAGTGGGTCAGGCCTCCGTGCCTGTGATCAGGTCGCCTTTGAATTATCCTTGAAGAAGGTCCTTAACCCCCTGGCAAAAGCTCCTGGGGCTCCGGATAAACGGCTGACCCTGTGCTCAGACCCCAAGCTCCACGCTCACCTCTATATACGTCTGTCTTAAAATGGAAACCATGAGGAGATATGTAAAAACGGAAGAATTAATGTGCATCTGTACTCGTACTTCTACAAATGGCAAATAAAGCTTCATTTCAGCCGCCACTCATCACCTCCATTTGGCAGAGCCAGACAGCCCGCCCAGTGGTACCGTCGTAATAGGTCCACTGGGAGATGACAGACAGATTTTCCCTCCAATGAAAATGTGACCTCTTACCTTTTTGGGTGGAAAGCGTGTTTGTGTGGCTCCTGCAGGTCCCACCTCTGGCACTCCTTGCCGCTCTCTGTGTGGTCCATGGGTCCCCTGTAACTCTCGCCATTGCAGGTCATGCATTCCACTGCGGACAGAAAAGGTCTCCCATAAGAATTTGAGGAATAAAAAAGGGGGAAAGACAGACACCTTCGTAAATCACTTAGGATGGGGGCGATGCGTGATGTTTTCTTTGGCTTCAGAGAGTTTGCATTCATTCTGATTCTCAGTCCCCCCCATAAAAGCATTTGCAGCGCCAATGCCCAGCAAGAGCGACCAGCTCTGGGATCGCCAGCTCTGGGATCGCCAGCGCTGCGCCGTGTAAAACCACATGTGGGTTTGCATTTACATTACAGGTATTTAGCAGATGCTTTTACCCAAAGCAATGTACATTAAAAAACAGGGTCAGACAGGAAAAGGAGTAATTAAGGGTTTAAGGCCTTGCTTAAAGACCTGACGATAGCATCCCCCTCGACGCAGGGATTGGAACTGGCAACCGTCCAAACACAGGTATGGCGTCCTCACCCACTGCGCCACACACCTCCTTAGAGGAATGTCTTATGAGGAGAGGTAAATCTGTTTAGCCTTGAGCAAAGGAGACTAAGGGGGGACATGATCCAGGTCTATAAGATTCTAACAGGTCTGGATGCTGTTCAGCCAAATGACTATTTCAATATTAGTTTAAATGCTAGAACTTGTGGCCATAAATGGAAATTAGCGGGAGAACATTTTAAAACAAATTTGAGGAAGCACTTCTTTGCACAGCGTGTAGTTAGAGTATGGAATAGTCTTCCTGCTAGTGTAGCGCAAGCTAAAACCCTGGGTTCCTTTAAATCAGAGCTAGATAAGATTTTAACATCTCTGAGCTATTAGTTAAGTTCTCCCCAAACGAGCTTCATGGGCCGAATGGCCTCCTCTCGTTTGTAAATTTCTTATGTTCTTATGCAGTTTGAACACTCTCATGGTTTTGACTGACGTACTATTTCTAGAGTTCTACAACATAGCAGCAAAACATCCAAATGGTTACAGGACAAACTTGTGAAACCCTGATTTATGTCGACTTCCTGGTGTTTCTGGAAATGGTACGCTAATTTATAAAAAAAAAAAAAACATGCCACGTTTCTCCAAAGCATGTTGAGGAAAGACAGGCGGCATTGCTGCTTTCTGGAGGGCTGTGACTCTACGCTGGATAAGGAGAACAGAAAGCAGACAGAATGGTGGACGTTTCACGCCCCGTTCAGCTTTCCCAGCCAGATCTCTCAAGCATTTTTCCCTCATGTCAGGTGACTGAGGTCCAACATGCATTTCACTTAGTCGATGCTTCTATCCATTTTTGCAAAAGCAGGGTCACTAGAAGAAACTGGGGTTAAGGACCCAGCTCATGAACCACTGGTGACTTCAGTCAGCTGCCTCTGATGACGTCTGAAGTCACTGAGTCACACTCCGCTTCAGCATCAACATGGAGCTTGCATGAGATTCCCACTGAGACCCGCTGATTTCTCTCCTTCAGACCTACCTTCAGAGCACTGGGGAACATTGCAGCTCTGGTGCCGCAGTTTGGGGTCTGTGGTGAAGCACCAGGGGCCGGTGGGCTCATTGTCCGGATTTCGGCAGAAGTTCTCCCGGAGATCCTTCTTCTTGTTGCTTGCTGGGAGGAACCTAAATTCACAAGGATTGGTTAATACAACCTACAGTACCACACTGGTGCCTTGCGAGTCTGTGAAGCTCATCTGGATGGGGTTTGATCTTTTACTCTGACAATCACCATATAATGGCCTTGAACCAAGGTCTAGCAACAAAACATGTTTGTCAGAACCAAAGAAAGATTGAATCCTGAGCAGCTGCAAAACAGGAGATTCATCTGTGATATTGCTGAGTAGATCATCAATAACCAAACAGGGAATGTGCCTGGTCCTTCAAGCTCTGCCTCTGGGGAAGTTCTACTCCTCTCCATGAGATGTCACTGAGCAACATGCGCTCTCTGTGCCAAACAGTAATTAAAATACTTTGGATCGCATCTCAAAGGGCAGTTCTGATGTTGACCGTTAACTAGCCATGTTGAGAAATCCCTTAGAAATTTGAGGCCTCTGGTGTTTGAGTTCTCTTCTGCAGCTTTAAGAACATAATGAAGAACAAGCATGTTTTCTTCCTGGAGGAAAGAATTATTTCCCTCCAGGCCCATGCTGATCACAACATTGTGATAGTGAGGTAAACGGGACTTCATCACACTACCAGAGAATTCATGCCATGTATACATTTACCCAACCCCAATAAATTTGATTTATCACATTCAAAAGGTCGATAATTTTGCCTTTGGATAGGAGTTTAAAGTTGGTGCAAACTAGTCTGGAAATTCAAACAAGACTGTTGAGAGGATAAGTGAGTACAATTTTAAATAGTTTACAACAATCGAGCCCAGGCTCAACAAAAGGGGAATTCTCCACAGACTGAATTCATTTCCAACTTTTATGCATAAATTCATTAGCCTCTGAAGCTCTATGAAACATTCCACTAAATTCACGGCACAGTTTATGGTTTGGGAGGAGCAAAATACTAAGGATGCTGCTTTTCCCCAAACCATCGAAACACGAGCATGAGCACGAGCATGAGGATGAGTCATCATACGAGTGTTCAGACGCAAGAGGGCCTCGAAAGCAGATGAGGTCACTGAACTCGGAGACCGGCGTCTCACTAAAGAGCACACACACACAGAGCATGCAAAAAGGCTCCTTTGCATACATCCCTGTGTGGCTGGATTTTACATTTATGTACTTAGCAGAAGAATTTATCCAAAGCAAGAAACATTTTTGGGAGAGCAGGGTCAGACTGGGGGGGCCTTGCTCAGCGGCCCAATGGAGAATTCACTCCGCCAACACTGGGATTTGAGCCAATGACCTTCTGATCACAGGTTGTTTCCTAACCCACCGAACCACACAGCACCCCCAGATGGATGATACTGACTAACATAAACACTGGGGAGTTGGGGGGGTGTCAGACCACATGCTCTGACATGACCTGAAAGGTAACCCCCTCCTTTTAACACAGTAGGGACTGCCCCATACACAGCCCGGCACCTGCGTGAGGGGGCGGTCTCGCACACGCAGTCACGCATGTGTGAAGGCGGAGCTCTTACGTGTGGTCGTGAGGCATGGTGGAGGCCCAGGCCTGGCATGGCACACCACTCTCCGTCACGGACCTCATGCCCCTGTAGCTGATGCCAGCCCCGATGATGCACTGTTTCACGTAGTCTGGGGGAGGAGCAGAGGGAGGTTTATGGGGAGGAGCAGAGGGAGGAGGTTCATGGGGAGGAGCAGAGGAAGGTTCATGGGGAGGAGCAGAGGGAGGAGGTTCATGGGGAGGAGCAGAGGGAGGTTCATGGGGAGGAGGTTCATGGGGAGGAGCAGAGGGAGGAGGTTCATGGGGAGGAGCAGAGGGAGGTTCATGGGGAGGAGGTTCATGGGGAGGAGCAGAGGGAGGAGGTTCATGGGGAGGAGCTGAGGGAGGTTCATGGGGAGGAGGTTCATGGGGAGGAGCAGAGGGAGGTTCATGCGGAGGAGCAGAGGGAGGAGGTTCATGGGGAGGAGCAGAGGCAGGTTCTCTTATTGTGGCCACACAGGGAAACAGGGGACCTGGCTTTTAAGCCACTGTGCATGTCCAGTCTGGGAGCAGCAACTTATTCACAGGCATTTATTTATTCTTTTAGCAGGTGCTTTTATCCAAAGTGACATCGTTTTTTGAGAAAGCAGAGCCATATAGATCCTGAAGTGACTGAAATTAAGGGCCTTGCTGTCAAAGGTGAAACCCATCTGCCTCCCTAGGATTCGAACTGCTGACCTTCTGACCATCCCAGCATCCTGAGGCTCCACCTCTGCATTCCTTATATCTGTTGATATATCTTGCTTAGGGGTCTTACCTTTTTTCTCGTAGAGATCAAAGTTGATATTGCGTTCAGTCAGGGCACCGTGGGTATAGCTGTCAAAGGACAGCCAGTGGCACTTCCTGTTTTTCTGGTCATAGTAGAATGATCTGTGGAAACATGAAAGTAGCAGGCTGAATGGCATGTGGTCAAAACCCAAACGGGCCGGATGGCATGTGATCAAACCCTGAAGGGGCCGGACGGTGTGTGGTCAATCCCCGAAAGGGACGGACGGCGTGTGGTCAAACCCCGAACGGGCCGGACGGCATGCGGTCAATCCCTGAACGGGCCGGATGGCATGTGGTCAAACCCCGAACGGGCCGGACGGCGTGTGGTCAAACCACAAACAAAAAGGGTGTATGGTCAAATCCCGAGCGGGCCAGTGTCGCAGGTGCAGTGGGGCAGTGAGTGAGTCACCATTGCTCTCCCGGGAGAGTTCAGAGCACTGCTTTTATTGAAACCAGCTCTCTGGCTTAATTGCTCCTTTAGATGTTAATTGTCGGCAGTTTACGACACATTTGCATCTCCCGTGAAGAGCCAGCTTTCAACTCAGGCCTCCCAGACGCACTATTCTGGTCAGACTGATGTACTTTAAAAAGGCAGCATGAAACAGCTGGTCAGGCTGCAGGCCTGGCAAGGGGATCTGTCACAGATCAGGGCCGTCTCCCTCCCCGCGTCACAGATCAGGGCCGTCACCCTCCCCACGTCACGCCGCAGGGTCATCTCCCTTTGTCACCCTGTCCCGGCAAGGAAAAGGAGGTCAGTGACCAGAAAGGCTACGACCCCCTGGACGGGAAGCGAGGGACAGGCTGGACGGCAGGCGCGTTCCAGCCAGATCTGCCAGCATAGGCTTCTTCCTCAAGGCTGTCAGGACACTGAAGAGCCCCCAACCCCCCACTGCTCAGCATGCTCACCCCTCCCACTGCTTATTCAGTCCCACTGCATTATTCCACCCCTTCATGCTGTCATACTACTTGTTATTTACATACACATTGCACCATACATATAAACCCTTGTATCCAGCACCCCGTGTCACACTGTCCTGTGTTCTTGCTTCTCCTGTTACTCACTGTCTGTGTGTCGCACCCTGGTCCAAGGGGAATGTTATTCCATGCTGCTGTATACCTGTATACGGATGGTATGACAATGAAGCCTGCTTGGTTGTTATTATTATTTTGATGATGGTTATTGGATTGTTATGCGGCTGCATTAGTCTCTGACTGCGAGACGAGGCTAGGGAGTGTCCTGGTGTTTCCCAGCCGAATGCGGCTTTCCTGACACATGCAGACCTTCCTCTGCTTATGAACTTTCAAATTACAAACTTTCAGACATACGAACGAAGAAGACTGTAAGTCTAAATTGTGTTCTTTGGGCTCCCATTTCCTGTCCGCAACATAACATTTGTTTTCTATGCGCCAATCCCGCCTAGTACGACTTCTGCCCGCTACTCCCGCCGCGCAGCAGCGTAGCGTGCGGACTCCCAGCATCCTAGCTCTTTGTACTTGCGTAAACCCTTAAAATGATGTTGAATAACGACTTACGAACATTTCAAGTTACGAACGGTTACAGAGGAGCGTCTGTATTTCCATTTTTACCCACTGACTCATACATAAAATAACCTGCATAAATGTAACACGATGCACTGGGGTGCCAGTCCATCGCAAGGGTCACACACATATAGACACAGACAGACACACACACAGCACAACCGTCCCCCAAGAGCACACTAAAAGTGACAGGGTGGGGTGGGATTTGATGCCCCCATAGCTTCCTGATTATTATGATAAATTAGACACATGGATGCGGTGAGACAGACCTGCACAGGAAGGGCAGCTTCTTGTTGCGGCTACACTTCCTTGCACACCTGAAGACATCGACCTCCCTGCTCTTGGTCAGGTAGGACTCATCTGGCCGCAGCAGCCGGACCCCGTCGCTTTTCTGGTAGTCCTGTAGGAAGTGCCTTCTGCCGTCTGCGGTGAAAAGGGAGGGAATCAGCTTCACATGGCAGAGTCACAAAGGCAACTGCTGCATCCCCATCTACCAGTCAGGGTCCCATCACTGGATCTGATTAATGTCCATGTAGCACAACTTCCAGGCGCAAGGTTTATTGTTTCTGGGCCCCTTGCCATCCTGCACCGGCCGCCCCATGTAGTGACTTTTTGTGGCAAACAGGGGCCCCCCAAAACAGGGGCCCCTACACAAATGCGAGGTTTGAGTGGTGGCAGACAAAGCTGCTGCCTACATCTCCCAGGATTAGTCTGTTGTAGCATAGCATAGTCACACCATCAGCAGGCACATTGTCAACATATTACAGTACAGGTGGATGCCAATCTCTGCACGCGCCTTTTACAGACGGCGATCCCTCATTACCGAGCGCTGAAAAGGCTGCGGTGATCCCTGCGCCCGATCAGCCTTCGATTTCACGTTAAAAAGGCGTTATGCCTCTAGGTCTCCTTACTCAGGCATTACTCATGCCATCACCCTCCCTGGGGCTGATAAGTTTTACAAGACTGTAAAACACAGATGGATCATCTCCTGTTTCCCTCTGTCCATGTGCCCATCCGGAATTTTCCTAGTTCCCGGGGCTCCGGACTGACTGGTCAGATGCGGTGCGATGTAGCCTCACGCATCAGATCAGCGACATTTCACGTTATATAAATTAATCTGGGGGGAGATCCCTCTACTGCCGCTGCACACAGAACGCATGTGAAGGCTGATTCTGTACATCTAATGTAGATACCACCCATTATGATCATTAATGCTATCGGATAAACGTAGTAATAATGATAATTACGAAAAATGCCTACTATTTCATTAATGCGCACGCATTGAAATACCTCGGGTATCCTAGCCTCCCATAAACTACACATTACTACCAGGTTGTACCTAAGAGCAGTATTTCTGAATATTTCTCCAGTGACCCAACGCTTGCGCTGTGATTTCATATTTGAAGTATACTAAACTAAACAAGCCCAGTATTTGGCGGCCAGGTTACGATGAACAGTCTAATGTCCTAAATCCGCGGAATGCTGTTCCTGGTTTTTCTTTTCGGAAAAATAACACGCAATTGCTTCGCAGTACTTTATTTTCTCCCCCTTTTTATCCTGACAATCCATGAAGTTACTTTCAAAAAGAAATAAATAAGCAAGTGCCAAGATAGTTGGCAACGATTTATTTAACCGCTAATTTAATCATTAAATAGTTTAAAAACGTTTTTAAAGCGCACATATCTGTCAATAAGGAGAGCATAGATATATGAAAATAACGACGAGTTGTCAAACCCAGTTGGCACATAAAAATAACTTCAGTGGATTTAAATAAGGTGTATGCATTGCTTTATATACAACACGCTGAATGCATTGCTTTCGACACCCCCGAAGAAACAGTTAAGGAAACTGTTTGCCCAGGTCCAAGATAAAAGTGCATATCCCCAAAAACTCACCTGAATAAACGATGAGCGTGAGGGAGATCAGAGCCGCGTATAAACGCAACATCGTAACCCCGGCGTGTCACCCAGATCCCGGCAGAAATGCCTGCGAGCGGCGCTCCTCAGCTTATATGGTCCGATGTAGACCTGCGCTGGAATGATTAACTGGAAAATCCTTATTACGCCGTAGATACCCCCTTACTGGAAAAGATCCGTCCTCTGCTCAACCCCCAATACGAGCATATCACACCGTTACCCCTCCCCGCTCCAAGACATTTAAAGGAAAACCTCTCCAACCGACGTGGAACGCTAAACAGGCGTGTTTATTTGGCTATTTACACTAAACAAGTGCGTATCTCATCGAGTGTTTCTAACCGAATCTTGTGCATATGCAGAAACCAGGAAGTACAGCGTGTGGAAATCTGATCAGGTGCATGCAGGTACCTGAAAGGATGCACGTGAATATCTGGTCAAATTCATGCATGTATCTGAAAGGCTGTGCGTAAATATCCAGTCAAATGCATGCAAGTACTTGAAAAGTTGTAGCCTATGTGAATATCTGGTCAGGTGCATGGAGGTACCAGAAAGGATACATGTGATATTTAATCAGATGCATGCTGTTACCTGAAAGGTTGCATTTGAATATCTGATCACACGCATGAAGGTACCTGGAAGTCTGCTTGTAAATGTCCGATCAGATGCATATATGCAGGTATCATAAAGGCTGTGTGTGAGCTATGATTGTAAATTGTACCACGCCTGTCACATTTCGGTGATAGCTTATCTAGTTTTCTCCCCCTCCTAAAATCTTATGTTTCGTGTATGTTTCACAGAATCGCTCTGCTGAGTAACCTGAAACATTGCATTAACCTGGCATCGTCTCTCCTGAAATATGAAACAGTGCTCTGGGTCGTTGACTTTTATAATTCTTCTGCTTGACTTCAGACTGATTTCTAAGCAGTGTCAGTAACGTTCAGCAAACATTGTAATCGTATGTGGAGCATAGAAAAGATCATGCAGAAAGATGTAAATTATATATAGAACAATAAACTGTCTACTATAAACATTTTTAAAAGTTCATTTTAAACATTCATGTATCAGCGAACATGGGGGTAAGGTGACAATTACCAGTATATTTTGGAAAGTTTCCAATAAATACAACCTTGTTTAAGCTGGTCAAATTTCCCTCATCAACGGAATCATTTAGTTACACTGTCTGGTGAGAGTAACAGCCCCAGATTACGTGCTAATTACAGCTGGATAAAATCTCACTTTGACATAAGGCGGTGGATTTTCAGAGCAGTTTAGACGAAAGTCTCTGAGAAAATGAGCGGGGTCATCATTGTGCAGGAATCCGCTCTTTTGCCATTAGCGAGATTTATGAACTCCTCCTGGCAGCAAGCTGGAAGTGAGAGGCTTGATATTTAATGGGTCACATGCAGGTCTTAAAAATGCATGTCCGATGGGAACGAGACGAGTCTGAGCGCAACTGCAAATGGAGCTACACCCGGGAGCCGGTGGCGTAGAAGGATTAGGTCATCGTTCGACCATCATATCATATCGGATTCAGAGCTTGCTAGAAATATCCCGTTTTGTCCTCGGAGATCAACACAATGTGTCGGGAAGTGAATGTCTGTGTTTCTGTATTAGGCTGACCTGTGAAACAGGCATGAATCACCGCGCCCCGCGTGGGTCTCCGGTGGGTTCTCTGCGCTGACTGTGTTGGTTTGTCTTTCCCCCTCTGCATCACCGAAGAGCATTTCCAAAGTACTGTAACATTAACCATGTGGTTAGAGACCTGGTACCCAGCCAGATTGGTCACACACGACCGATATTAGCCAGAATAATCGTTCTTCGTGCTATTATAAGGATACTTTTTTCAGATTCATCCCCAACCCCTACGCTGATACATGTCCCAGTCTGGTCATCAGAAACTGGCGTCGCCTGACACGCTTCAGGACTTGCATGAAGATTTTAATCCCCTAAAGTTAATATGCAGAAAAATTAACTAACCACAATGTAGTGCTAATGTTAGGTGAGAACTCGGACTAACGGAAATCTCCGAACCTACTGACCAACTAAATGAACGTGATGATACAGTACGTTCGTGAAGACAGGCCGTAAAATGCGCTGGTTTATGGGGCAGCTGACAAGGGTCATAAATTAGGCTTAGACAGGACGGGGTGATTATGCTGATTTTCTTCAGGACACCCAACGTACAGAGAAACATAGGAAGAATTAGTGTAAACGAGAAGTCTGCAAACTCCGCCTTCTACTGAGAGACCGTCTGGCCAGTTTTGCATTTACGTGTGTTTTCTAGCACATTTTAGTCATATTTTTAAAATTAAGTTTATCTAGTTCATTCTTTGCATTTGCATGATTTTCCAATTTTAGTCATCTTAAAATACCACGTATTAAAAATTCTGATCTGTGAAATATGTGCCGCATATAAGATAGTGTGAGCCAGACGCAACTGAGTGCAGCTGCAGTGTGAGGAAGAAGCTGACAGGCAGAGGAAGGACAGCTTGGGGGTCAGTCTGCAGGAAAGAGCTTGGCCCCTCCACCCTGCCAGCAGTCTGTGCCTCAGGTCAGTGCCTGTTCCGGTTAGCAAACCTGGGAAGTAGGGGGTGGAGGCGCCACTGACAGGCAGGTTTGGGGGTGACTGCCATCATGGAGGGATCTGTGGGGGGGGCATGTTGGCTCCCCAAGGTCCTCAAACGACCATCTGCGTTAAAGTGGTGGCCAGAGGACGCTGAGGAAATGACGCCACCCACTGAAGAAAGGTTGGATACAGGGTTTGCAGGCGGCCATGACATGTAGAACATGGGCGTCCTGTAAGAGGCCACATTGCTGCAGCTGTGCGGCGTGCAGTACGCGGGCGTCCTGTAAGAGGCCACATTGCTGCAGCTGTGCGGCGTGCAGTACGCGGGCGTCCTGTAAGAGGCCACATTGCTGCAGCTGTGCGGCGTGCAGTACGCGGCCGTCCTGTAAGCTGCAGCATTGCCACAGGCTGTGAAGGTATCTCAAGCTCTTTTGGTGTTTTTTTAAAAGCACAAACATTTATAATGGCCATCTTCTAAAGAGCAGTGCCACAGGTTTGGTTCAGTCAAATAGCAGGTGTGATGCAGAGCAGGGGGACTCTCTTGACGTGATGATGCATGTCCACGTTATGAAGAGCTGTCCCACAACACCCCCTGAAGGTCAAAGGGAACCCTGACAGCGGCAAGGGCTGTGATGGCCGCAACTAGCAACAGACACCCCTGGTGCTGACCACTTTAAGTCACATCTCCTTCTGAGGAGCATTGTGGGGGATTCTGTGGGGTGTTCTGGAGGATGGGGGGGGGGTGTCTGGGTGCTAATAGATTTCCTGCAGCTTTGAAGGGATTCGTCACACAGGACTGCAAAGCAGAATCAGGTTTCCTCCACAGAAAATTAGCTGAACCTCATGCTGACCTCCACTCCCCCCATCCCAGACTGCCTGGAGGGCAGGGGGGGGCATTCCCCCACCAGTAATGGGCCACTGCAGGAAGAAAGGAGAGTGGGGGAGCAGGCAGGGGGTGTCAGGATGAGTCAGGCATGTGACAAGAAGCAGGGAAAGCGGACAGCCCCTAAAACAAACAGCCGCCAGGGGCTCAATAGGAGGGGCACTATCGTGTCAAGAAATCTTTTTCCAAACAAATAAGGCACTTCCTGCCTGGGGATCTGTTTCTCATTTAGCATGAAAAACAAAACAAGCCCTGGAACGCTCAGCCTCTTTTCACTTACCTGCATCTCCATGACAGAAAATCCTCTCTATGCCATTCTGATATTGGCAGGTTAAACTAGCAATTAATTAGAAGGAAAACAGCTGCCATGTAAGCGGTGACGAGTCGGGACCGAAGCAGACTGTTTGCAATGTGTTTTTTGTTGGGTTCATATGAATATAAAGCACATTTTCAAAGCTAATGTTAGCGTTACAAGCATCCATCTTTTTCAGCATCAGTATGTGGAAATGCCAACTGCGACAGACCGAATGACTTTGCAGTCAGTCAGCTCAATGGCTTTTTAGGAACACTCAATTTGCCGGGTTTTCTGGTAACCATTTACATTTTCCACATCACCAACAGTGAGCCACGGCTCGTGTAGATTTGTCAGCCATTGTTCCTGTGTTAAGATGGCGCACTGGCATCCCTCACACATCACAGGCTTCGCACAACATTCCACTGCAGACAACAGTTTGCATTTACACATTTCCATTTTCACAAAAGCATTTCCCCATCTGCCAGTGCTTACTGACCAAAACCTGCTGAACACCAGTACCTTGGTCTGGATTTTAACCTGCCTTTGTCTCACGGAGGTCTGCGGTGATGTTTCACAGTTGCAGCTGTGAATCAGCTGCGATAGACAGCACTTCGAGGGCATGGCAGGACAAAGCCCAGATGGTGGTCTAGACCCCCTTTTCATATCAGGATTTTTTCTTCTGAGATTTGGTTCGAAAAACATCATTTCCTGTCCTGATTTTGATGTTTTTGTCCCCTAGAGGCACATCACTAAAGCCCGAAAATAAGTAACGCCTATAGGGGCTGGTTCATCAATAATGAGCTCCCGACATCTGCTGACTCACAGCTCTCAGCCTGACCATTTTCTTGCTTGCCAGTCTGTCAGAGTCCCTTTGATACTGTTATGTATTTGCCGCTCTCATGCCCTACACCTAATCAGTTAATTTATTGGTGCTTTTAGGTAAATGTGAAGCTGTCTGGACAAGTTCAAAGTGTGCAAAGTCCACTTGGACACAGGTGGGGCGTTGAGAGACCACCAGCTTGCCCAGAGGCGGGTAGGTGGTGTGTTCAGCAGCTGACAGCATCCTCTGACAATATACTCAGAGACTGACAGTATGTTCAGAGATTGACATTGTTTTCATAGGGTGTCAGCGTGCTCAGAGACAGGCAGCGTGCTCAGAGACAGACAGCGTGCTAAGAGACAGGCAGCGTGCTCAGAGACAGACAGCGTGCTCAGAGGTTGGTAGAGTGCTCAGAGACTGGCAGAGCTCTGAGAAACAGACAGCGTGCTCAGAGTTTGGTAGAGTGCTCAGAGACAGACAGTGTGCTCAGAGGCTGGTAGAGTGCTCAGGGACAGGCAACGTGCTCAGAGGCTGGTAGAGTGCTCAGAGACTGGCAGAGCTCTGAGCGACAGACAGCGTGCTCAGAGACTGGTGGAGTGCTCAGAGACAGAAAGCGTGCTCAGAGACAGGCAGCATGCTCAGAGACCGACAGTGTGCTCAGAGGCTGGTAGAGTGCTCAGAGACAGACAGCGTGTTCAGAGACAGGCAGAGCGCTCAGAGACAGACAGTGTGCTCAGAGACTGGTAGAGTGCTCAGAGACAGACAGTGTGCTCAGAGACAGGCAGTGTGCTCAGAGACAGGCAGCGTGTTCAGAGACAGGCAGCGTGTTCAGAGACAGACTGGTAGAGTGCTCAGAGACAGACAGCGTGTTCAGAGACAGGCAGCGTGTTCAGAGACAGACAGTGTGCTCAGAGACTGGTAAAGTGCTCAGAGACAGGCAGCGTGTTCAGAGACAGACAGTGTGCTCAGAGGCTGGTGGAGTGCTCAGAGACAGACAGCGTGTTCAGAGACAGACAGTGTGCTCAGAGGCTGGTGGAGTGCTCAGAGACAGACAGTGTGCTCAGAGGCCAGGGAGGGTGTTGGCGTGTTGGCCCACCTGTGTAATAATGAAAAACAAAGGCTGATTACCTCCCAATGAAGCAGCACATCAGACATCTGCAAACACCCACTTGGAAGGACATGAATACAGCAAAATCAGGGTTGGGGGCCAGCTGAACACTGCCCCTCCCCACCCATCCCTGAGGCCCACATGAACAGCGGGTGAGTCATTAGTGGCCGAGCTGTGGGTCTCAAAACAGCCTGGTGCTCCCAGGACCCAGAACAGCTGCCTTTTGAGGTGAAGGGGGCACGACCAGCCTTTAGTCACCTGGGCGGCCTGTTTGATGAGGTGCTGATGGGGGGCTGGTGGGTTCTGTGCAGCTACAGCTGGCCGGGGGTGGGATGCCCACTGAGGCTCTGGAGCTACCATCTGCTGATCCTGCATCCTTTCAAGACGTGCCAGGCCCTGGCCCAGGTGCCCAGCTTCCCATGCCCCCTTGGCCAGCGAAGTCCACAGTCACTTCCTGTTTGCCTCACTGTCATACATGCCACAGGTCTCGGAAACGCCAGAAGTGGCATCCAACGGAAGGGAGGCCACTGTGTGACTGCGGTGGCTTCATACCGCCGTCCCTTGTAAGGGGGCTCCAGTCACATCAGCCAATGAGCTTGCTGAATCCAAGAGCTGATGTTTTCTCCCAGGGAGAGAAGACACTGTCATGCTGAAAAACACTGGAGAGTCTCAGCGCTGAACTGCAGAAATACAGCCCTCGCTCTGCATGTTAAGGCACATCATAGTGTTCAGGCAGTCATCGGCCAGCTTCCTGTTGGCTCACTGGCAGCGTGGTCTTAGTGTGGGGGTACATGTGTACAGGGTACGAAAGAGCATAATCCATTAAAATAAGGGGACAGAACACCTTACTTACAGAACACTCTGCCAAAAAGGGAAAGAGAACTGATATAAACATTCCCAAAAGTTTGCTGCAAACAGTGACCAGGATGGGCTCTCTTGGGAATGCTCAGGGAAAGCCATAAGGGGTTCAGCCAGTGGGGGTTCCTCACGACCAGCCATCGGGGGGTTCTTCATGGCAAGCCAGTGGGGGGTTCTTCATGGCAAGCCAGTGGGGGTTCTTCATGGCAAGCCAGTGGGGGTTCCTCACGGCAAGCCAGTGGGGGTTCCTCACGACCAGCCATCGGGGGGTTCTTCATGGCAAGCCAGTGGGGGTTCCTCACGGCAATCCAAGCCATCTCATTAACAAGGGAGCTATTTGTTTGTAGCCATTCTTCAGGTTTTCTGGGTATCGCTGGACCTGGATTCTGAAGTTCTGAATTGGCCAATTAGTCACTCTTCAAGCCTGACGTCTTCTTCCAAAAAACACGTTCCTGTTTGCCTAGGAAAACCCGGAATGTTCCAGGCAGGCTTCACGGGAAGCCGCTCTCCATAATGATAGCTGGAACGGTTCCACCGCTCAACATTAATCTCCAGGGCAGAGGTCAGCAGAAAGAGGTATACAGAGGCGAGTCAGTGTAAATATCTGGGAGCTGAACATCGACATACTGCCATCTTGAACAGGATAAGGTCAGACACAGGAAATAGCCAATTCTAACAGTCATACTCATGTGTACAAATGTCTGTGAAAGAAGACAAAGCTTCACAATGCAAAACAGAGCCCAGAATCCTGCCAATGTATTGCAAATTCGGTGGTAATTTCATTACAACTGTGTCCAAAAGGACCATGACTGTGTCAAAGAAATGTTCATCTTATTTATTAGTGTCATTCTCCATCTGGAGTGTCAAACCAGGGCACAGAGGCTGCAGGGCTTAAAAACAGACTTAAAATACTAGGTGCGGCTCCAGGACTCAGTATGGACATCCGCACAGGTGATGTATGATTATGTTCCTCCCCTCCTGTAAAACAGCTTTACGATATTTAAAGCTTTACAATTTAAAAAACAATATTTATAAAAGATACTTTTATTTAAAAGTGTTTTTGCTATATACATAATTAACATTGTACTACAATATAAAAAAGTAATTTATTTAAAATAATGCATTTGTCATAGGAATTATTGAGACTATTATTTCTTATTATTATTGAAGCAATTATTTAATCTTAACATAGTAATTCTTTCCTATTAAACTGCTTCCTTCGGTCAAGGGTCATCATACAGGAAGCATCGTATGGGCCAATGGTGAAGCACACGTGATTTAAGGGTTGCTGGTTCAAATCCCTGACCAGTAAGGTACCACTGAGGTACCATGAGCAAAGCAGCGCCCCCAAGCACTGAGCTCCCCGGGTGCTGAATTATCTGCCCCCTGCTACAGTATGTCACATATGGTTTAAATGCA